GGCAAGCATTGCACACATTGAGCCTCATTCATGAAATTTTTCTAAATTTATTAGTAAATTCTTAGCAACTTCCATGTAAAAAGGGGCCTTCCTGAAAAATCTCCTCTAGATTGACAAACACTTTGCAAACCTCTGATTTGATAGTTAAACATGTATATGTTAAGTCATTTGTAAATAGACAACGCATGAATGCTCATTCAAAACTAAAATAATCTTCACCCGTGAATTACGCATACTGGAACGCTGTGGGATCTTCCGGACTCCCGTCTCAGGTTTGGCTTCAGTGTATTGCCAAATGGTCAGTGTATACTAAATGGCCATGTGCCGAATAAATTTTGTTTGTAGCAGCTAACATTTTGAAAATACGAACACTTTCATAAATCTGAAAATTTATGTCAGAACAACTTCACAACTATTTGTATAAAATTAATTCAGATCACATTTCATAAAGAGGCCCATTGGCTTTACACATACCTACTAGAGAGCCACTCTGTTATTTGCATATGCATTTTGTTAATTGCAAAAACACAGAACTCTGAAATGGAATTTTGAATTTAAACCTAAGCAGTGACATTTTTTTTTTTACATCAAAATAGAATCCAACAACTCCAACGTTAACCACTCAACTTTAATAATATTAACAATTGTTTTGACTAATGATTGATGTTGCATGAATTGAGTCATTATTCGAATCTAATGCAGTGAATCTGTGGGAGATAAGTAAAGTATTGACTATAATGGTATAATGCATGCTGTTGCTCATTACTTCTAAACATCTTTATTGTTTCATGTGCTTTTGACAGGCATTTTCAATGAAGACGTTTTATATACAACCAAGTGTATTTGATAAAACCTGAATAACATTTGTTGTCCAATAGCCTGTAAATGAATGTTAATTAGATCACCACAAGGCCAATAACAACTGATTATTCATGATGACGAACCACTACAACATGTACTGATCTCAGGTCAGTCTTCTCCGGTTTAATCAGATATAGGCCATGCACACTTCACAGTAAAAAGTGCACAGATACACAAAGCTTTGTCAAGAGCCCTAGATGGGCTGGGCTCATCAATGAGGTCATGCATAGATTACAGTACACCAAGAGAATGGTGTGTCATAGTAAAGAATATTTCCTGTCAGATCAGCCTCACATTTCCATTGAAGAACGTCCAGTCCTGCTTGGCATCCATAACATACAAATTATCAAAGCAAACTTTAATTTCTAAAACAGTGGTTCTCAACTGGTTTTTATTCAGGACACAAATGGCGCCCCAACACAGTACTAAGTGTTGAAACGTATTATTTGTGTTTAGCATGTTTTTTCCCTGCTATCAACGACCCTACCAGAACAGACCAGAGACCAATTTTTGAGTTGCGACTGACCAGCTGAGAACCACTGTTCTAATAAACTACACAGCAATATTTTTGAACATACATTTTTATTTTGAATGTGATTCCTAAATAGATGTAACAGGGAATAAATTACACTCCTGAAGTCCTTTCATGAAATTAAGCTTTAATTCAATTGTAAATCAGCGTAGTATCTAATCTAAGCTTCTTTTCTGAGTTTTTTAAATGTCTATCTGAACCCATATGGGGTCTGTACCCATGCAAATGGAAAGTGCAAAAATATATACTTAAAAAAGCAATACTTGATTCAAGCTAAGAAAATATGATACAAATATCTCATCTGCAAACACTCAAAGGGCCCGAGGAGGACAGATGCAGTGACTGTGTTCGAAATGGAATGCTAGTGTACTTCTTGAGTACTTCTTGCATTCTGCACAATACACACTGTAATGTGCATACTATTTTTAAGTATGTTAAAGAGAACATGTTATACAATGCATTGCATGTTTAATTGAATTGAAATAAGTGGTATCTAGTTATCTCTCTGAAACAAACACGTTTACATTGCACTTTTAATGTAGCTTTTTCTCAGTCTGATATGAGAATAAGTCAAGAAAATCACGGTTGATATTACTTTCAGTGCATTTGTCACACTAAAATGAAAGGTCAGGTTGAACACATTGCATTGTGGGACATAGTATCTATAGAGCGCTGCTCTATAATGAACACTACAGCACATGTATTAAGTCTTAATATTCCATGCACACACAAAATTCATGTACTTTGCACAGTATACATACTGGAAAGAATAGTATGAGTAGTAGGGTAGTATGCTATTTCGAACATAGTCATTGCCTTTTGAAAAACTGTGTAAGAATGAGATACATGCTGGGAGCACTCACTTCATCAGCTATACAAAATTCTCTCGCTCTTTCTCTCTCTCACACACACACACACACGCATAAACGCACAATTACAAAACACATATTTAAACATGCACACATAAACGCCCAAAGAAAATGAAATATACAGAAAATACAGCGTTTTACATTTTTACAAAGAAATAAAACCAAAAAGCTAAATGTAAAAATAAGAGAATTTGTCTTCCATGTCCATTGTCCCAATGTTAATTCTATCATCACATCTGTTTAAGCTCTAGCTCTATGGATAATGGTGGATAGATTAATGGGCTGTGCTGTTTGATATTTTACAGTAGTTGACTGTGTTTGGAGTGGAATACTAACTTACTGCACAGTTTATGTATACTGCATACTATACTGCAAAACAGCATCCATTATGCTACAATAAATGCTTCAAACTGTAGTATGCTACATTGTTGCTACATTCAGGGAGTGACATTGAGTAATATCTTAATAAAATAATTTAAAAAAAAAAGGTAAATCCTCATTTTTTGGTATTCCAATCAAATAATGAATCAAGAAGGACAGTAGTTCCTTTACATACAATGTTTAGCTTTGCACTTCTTGTGATTGTATTTAAGCTTCAAAATTCATAAAAGTTGTGTTCATTTGTAAAGACTATCATGATGAACAAAACATTTTGTAGGTCGCAGGTAGGACACACATCTTATTCTCTGTGATAATCCAAAATCCAATGGAAAAAAATCCAATTAGATTTTTGTTGAGGGAACCAGGGTAATGCTAACTTCCAGTTTGGCCTACAAAAATATGTCATCACTGCGGCACTCTATGGTACTGTAGGTTAAGCTCCAAGCATTGCATTGTGGGATACTGCATTCCACACAGCTCACTCTGGTTGTATGTTGAACATTTCTGCAAATGTAGTAGGCCATCCGGGTGTTCTATGCATACAGAAAATTCACAGCATACATACTATATACTGCAGAGATGCTAATATTTTGTTCCAAAGATAGCCAGTATCTTGCGCATGGACTGGTGGTATCATAAGCACATAAAATACATGACGGCTGAGCAACAAACGCAACGACACTCACACATCAATTAAGTTCACACACGCTACAAAAAACAGGCATATGGACAAAGGACATAGTCTTATTATAAAATAATGAAAAACGAAGAAACAACATGCAATTAAAGAAAACCATGCATGTTATTTATATCACCATTTTGCCAATTTTGGCTAATTGTTTTATTGATTTTGCCTTGACAAAATGAGTTGTCGTATTTAAAGACAGATCTGCATATCTTTTCAAGGCGATGCAGTACATAAAAACTGTTAATTTGCATAAACAAACTGATTTTTATTTGGTAACCTTTACCAGAAACCACTTTTGTAACAAGAATCACAATGTGAGATGCTGGCAAGCGAAGAGAGAGGGCGTATCGGTAAATATGTTCGTAAGTAAACGTCGTCACTTTGCCTGGTCACCAGGTAGAGAACTACTTCACAGCGGGATGATAGCTGCCACGCACAGAGACGCAGACAAGTAGGCAAGCAGAAAACAGGAACTCCAAAAGCCCTTCGTCTGCATAGTAAACAATCCAACCGCACAAGTGCTTCATTCAGAACTGTGACAGAACACAGGTGAAAGAGCAGCGCCACTGCAGGCCATGCTGGGAAGGATTTGTGTTCAATGAATGTTGTCAATGATAATTCCCTCCCACACACTGGAGTTTACTGTGTGTCAGAAAACACTGTAATCCATTGATCTCAATGTTGATTATGCTTCACATGGACAAAGCGATGCTGCAATGTACTCTGGCACAGATGTTTGTTGAATATTGAGAAGGCAGGCGGGTCCATTTGCGCTTTCGGAAATCCAATTTATTTCATTTCCACTTGATTTCAAATTAATCCCATTCATCCCATACGCTCAAGACACATTTATATCGACAAAACGCCCCATTTTTCTCTAGTGCAGTGGTTCTCAAACTTCTTTATCCTAATCCATAACTTTGCCAGTAGGGATGGGCATTTTCCAAAAATGTTGCAATCGAATATTTGGGCTCATAAAAAAACGAATATTCAAATATTCGTTTATTTAAATGAGGTTTAATGAGAAAGACGTTATTTTTAATTATCAAGTTTTGTCACGATTTCTGAACAAGCTTATGATTAGCCGTTACACAGCAATGTTCTACAACAATGTTACGTTATATCGCAAGGTTTTATTTTGGTTGAAAATGTGTAAACAAAAAAAAATACATAAAAAAAGCATTCAAGATCAAGCAGAGCAAACGGAAAAATCAAGCAGACTGTGCCAATTACATATAATCGAGTCGGCCTATATTAACTGTGTTTACATTGTTTCACGTATTAATTCTGAGAGAAACAATAATATCCATATGCTCGGGTGAAAGTTTGTTCCTCAGTCTGATAACAATAAGAACGCGCTGACAGTCGTGAATGCAGTAATGGACAGCTGTCTTTCCTCAGTCGACTGTTTGGATTTCATGTGATTTCTCATTGTGGTGGTGATATTATGATAAATCAGTTTCACTAATTCATTTGATCAGAAGTAATTACGTTTTGTCAAATCATTTACTAAGATCATTTAGATCAAAGTAAATCCAAACTTCGAGAGGCAGATGACGACATTCTGTGATCAAATACTATCAACTTGTTAACACGCTCCACAGCGCCACCCAGTGCATTTAGTTATAACTGCTTAGGATTTATCATGGAGTCCCTGCATTTACGGCCAGCAAATCAACACATAGTAAAATTCGAATAGTGTTTTTATTGTTCGAATAATAATTACAGACCGAATATTCGAATGTTCGACTATTCGTGCACACCCCTATTTGCCAGACTGCTTTAATAGCTACTTTTAGCTAATGAACCTAAATGAGACAACAGTTTAAGTAGCCAATCACTACAGTTTGAGAACTACTGCTCTAGTGTGTAAACGCACTCAGCAGGATGAAAGTGTAGGATAATCAGAGGTCTCGGGTAGGGACTGAGAAGAACCTCTTTGGTGCAGAGTACAGCTGCCAACTCCTGGCTCTAAAGGGCCACCCGGAGATCAGGTTTTGACCTCAAACACTGAATACGCTCCCTGGTTTGTCACAGCAATGAAAAGTGGGCAGCCCATGCATGGAGTCAATAAAGCTAGCCGTCCAAGGTAGCAGAACGGTTGTACATGAATGTCTGTGTTCACATATGTGCTGCAGTTGTGCATGTTGCAAAGATGCTTGTTTACCATTCTCAAGTCATTATGTGCTTTTGTGGGTAGTGCGTGTGGTTCTCCAGTGGGCATTTTTTTGTGTGTGTATTTATGGACAGGCATGGCTAAGGCCACTCATGGTGATAACGTTTGCCGTTCTTTTTCCGCTCTTTCTGCAAGTGCTCCAGTTCTGCCTCATACACCATCTCCTGCATCAGGTATTTCTCCCTGCGCATGCGATCACACAGGTCTTTGGGCATGTCTGGAATCATGTGGGCTATGAAGGTCTTAATGCCAAACACCAGGTGCTATGGAAAATATAACAGACAATCAGACAATGGGAAAATCATAAACATGAAATAATCTTAGATTGCATTGCAGTATTGAGAAGTAGCACAATTAGCCTTGTGTGAAGGAAGACCAGTGCCATCATGGTGCCATGACAATGAGCACTTCAGAATCTCAATAATAATAGGTAATTTGGATATTTTTTGCATACTGTTTTAAGAATACTACCTATTTGGACATACTACTCATTTGACTATTTTTCCAACATGAACATATTCTGGTGGTTCTTGGCCAGAATAAGTCATTTTGCCAAGAGTCAAAAAAGAGTCTGGCTCCTGCGATTAGGCTAGTGCGCTAGTGTAGCCGGTTCCTCTCGGCCCACTGCAAGCAGGGCTTGTACAGACGATAGCCGGCATGGGAGTCAGGCATGTTAACAAGTACGCTAAAAACCACAGCCTCTTGTATCAGTGGTTAGTGCAGTGGTTCTTGAGGCCAGGACAGTGAAGTTTATTACCTGCACAATTATCACATACCAGCTGGCCTCCTTTACACTCACCGTCCTAAATCTCACTCTCATCCGGGTCATGGCACCACTGTAACCTGTTCCTCCCAGGTCACTCCAAGTGGGGTCTGAACCAGTGATGGAAGTCAGGCACATTAACAAGGACTCTAACACCGTGTCTACACCGGATGTGACAGCTGTCGTGTTGTGCCGCACAGCACCACAACAGCTAAAGGATGTCTACACTGGAAGCGACAAAGCGTCTGTTTACTGTCTGGGACTTTTGAGGCACTGCACCGTACTGCATCCTGTGTAGACAGCATCACTGATTATAAACGGTTCTATCAAATTATCTTGTCCCGCTCGCGTCTGGTGTAAAGACTGAAGCCTCTAATGTCAGCACTAGTGCACCTCCTGAGGCCAGGGAAGTGAGGTTTACCTGCATAGCCATCTTGTACCAGCTGGCCTCCATTACACTAGAACAGGGGTGTCCAAACTCGGCCCTGGAGGGTCGGTTTCCTGCATAGGTTAGCTTAACACACCTGCCTGGAAGTTTCTAGCATGCCTAGTAAGACCTTGATTAGCTGGTTCAGGTGTGTTTAATTAGGATTGGAGCTAAACTCTGCAGGACAGTGGCGCTCCAGGTCCGAGTTTGGACACCCCTGCACTCGAACCTTGTAACATTTATCAAAGGGCAGGTTTACTTTAATTTAACTACTTAAAACTATGAATAGCTTGTAGCTTTAAAGCTAAAGTTTCCAAGTAGCTTCCCCAAGCCAACATTTCAAGGTGAGGCCAATGTAGGCACGATATGAGCTTGAGGTATGGGCTCAACATGGGTTTGTCCATAGGTTCCTTGTCGGCCCTGTCTGAATAAGCCCCACTTTATGCCTTAAATAAGTTCAATCCCTGGAGTTAAATGGATTTCCATGGGTTCCTTGTCAGTCTTTTCTGAATTAGCCCCAGTAAGGCCTTACTCAGATAGGTCTGACATGAAACCCATTTAGAGCTTAAGCCCATTTTGTGTTTACATTGGCTCCCATAAAATGTTGCCTGACATTGTTGATGGTTTTACTCAAATAAGATTATAAAATATAAAAACGTGAAGCACTGACCTCAAAGACTATGATAAAGGCTAATCTGGCAGCCAAAACATGCCAGAACTGCAGGGTGAACTCATAGGGTTCAGGACTCCATGGAGGCGCTCTGTAATCTCGATACCTGTAGAGGGATATAAGACAAATTTACCTTGAGAGAAAGACAAAAAACAACTGAATAGCATATAATAATATGAATGTTGCAGTACCTGCAGTATCGAGTATGATAACTCCCATTTTTTAATTCACCCATATCAAAAACAGACAAGCTGTTGTTCAAGTATCCTCTTAGACATCTGTGTAAAGACACACAAAACGCAAATACACAGCATTAGTAAAACTGAATTTGGGATTTTGAATGCAACCAATTATGTCTATGTCTAAATACACTGAGTACAATTTGACTTCATGCAGACAATGTCCATAAAAATGTGTCATTTGCAGAATATTCTGTCTTTGTAGTTCCACCTCTTTTTACTGTGGAAATAATCGACATTATAAAATAATTCAACATTAAAAATAGAAAGCCTATCTTTTCCTTACAATGATAATGCACGGTGGTTTAGTTGAAATTAACTGAAAATAATAATACGGGTTGGTATTTGAATTCACATTTCCATGTTTTTTTTTTTCTCTGGTCTTATCTAGCTTAGGCCCCCACAAGCTCATAAAGCTGAATAACTGAATTTCAAAATAATTTCCCAGAAATGCACTGACATGGTGAAGCTGAATCTTTGCAACCACCCATCACCACCAGAGCGGCTAACCAGAGAAATCTTCTCAGCTTTACAATGCACACACCACTGGTGTGTTCGACCTAGTAAGTGCTGCTTGTAATTGCTGCTTTCTTACTTCTCGTGCCGGTAACCCTTGTCCACACAGGGCCCATATTTAAAAGCATAGACAAAGCGAGGGATGTAATCTGAAGTGATGGCAATGACAAAGGCATTTGTTATGACAGCCACAACTCCAATTCCCTCCAGGACACCATGCCAGATTCCTAATTATAAAAAAAATAAAAATAAATTACTGATCTATCAAACCAAAATGTACTCAAATTTACAAGGACAGATTATACATAAATCTATAAAATAATCTGCAACATTAAAAAACATTAAGCATTGACATATCTTGTATATTGTGAATATTCATGCTAACATCCTATATTTACAACAAGCTGCAAATGTAATTACAACAAATGACTGTTGTGTTTCTTGCATTTAGATAGGAATAAACTGACACCAGGCTAATTGAGGGGAAAAGGACCAACCAATATCAGTAGCGCGGGCAGGCATCGGTCTTCTCCACTGCGTGACAAACTTGTAGGCGTCTAATCGGATCTCGATGATGTTATTGAGCAGAGCAAGCAGAGGAGCCAGAGGAAATGCCGCCACAAAGATTGTAGTGAAACCAAACTGCAGAACTGTACAGAAAGCATATCAAACTTGCAGGCCATCTAGATCAGTCTAACAGTTGCTTATTTAGAGCAGAAAACACTGACACAAATGCTTGCCCAATGCATTGCAAGCATGCTGCCCTGTTGAACATACTTACTGTAACGTGTGTTTGTGTTAATGTGGTGGTAACAAAGCAGTTATCAGCAACCTTCAGTTACATTAAATCAGATGTGTTATTTCTAAGGTAGCTGTTGTCTAACTTAGAGAATGTAACTTGCTTCTTCTTCACCATGACAGAAAATTACACACTTCACCAGAGCTCACAATAAGAGCAGAACTCACCCATCTCCAGGTACTCGTCCACCAGGCCGTGTGCGTTCATGGGCTGCAGGTTCCAGTCTCTATCCCACTGCGGCAGCTGTTCTTTACTGTTATTCTGCTCTCCTGCTCGTTTCATCTTACGCCGGGACCACCAGTTCTGCAGCAGTCTGATAGAGGAACAGAAAAAAAATGACTTAAAATTTTTATTTGATAAGTTATAAAGAGTGATGGTTATGTCCGTGGTTATGGTTATGTCCGTATCTAAATAAGCAAGCAACAGAGCAGTACATGTGCTTTACTATGTTAGTCAACACTATTTCTTTAAAGCACAACAAAAGATTATTAAAAAGCAATGATTTAAAATGTACTTTAAAGGAACACTTTTGGACCCACTTTATATTAAGTGTCCTTAACTACTATGTACTTACATTTAAATTAACCATTTGATACGATGCACTTATTGTGTACATACATGTTTTTACATTGTACTTATATTTGAAAATACAGTCCTGTAATTACAACTGTAATTCATTTCTGTAGTTACATCTGTAATTATACTGTTGACCTTACCTCTACCTCTTAAACCTACCCATAGCACCAAACCTGCCCCTAACCTTACCTATATCCCACCTCAATAGCAGCGAAAGTGTTTTGTAATTAAACATGAACACAATAGGAACACTGTACCTAGCAAGTCATTATTTTAATATAAAGTATACAGTATTTAAAGACAACTAATATAAAGTGGGACCAATTTATTTATAGTTATATTTATTATATATTTATTTATAATTGCTGATTGAAGATTGTTCAAAAAATCTTCTGTGTTCCACGAAATAGACAGAATATGGTGAAATAAGTGTAAGTTCATAATAAGTTTTCATTTTTTCTGTGAACAGTGGTAGAGAGAACAGTAATGATAATCTAAACTAATGTCCCTCATCATGGTTTGCTGATGGTCTGTTAAGTACACTCTGTTGTCGAGGCTCTTTCTGATGAGGCATACATTTCTCTCTGTACTGCAGGGTTGGCAAAATCAGCCAGCCGTGAACGCAGTGGACTGGAACTGAGGACAAACACTTCCTGTTTTGGCTAATAATTGAGTAACACAGACCTCTGTGTTCATACACTCAATAACAAAGTCAGATCTTATGAAATAATGTATATATTTAACAACATTAAAATGTACTACAAAGAAAGATGACAAAGAGAAATCTGTATGACTGCTGTTTAGGTTTAGGTGTTAAGAAAGAACCAATAAAATCAAACAAAATGCAATTTACCCCATCCTGGAGGAAAAAGGGGTGTATCAAGAGTTGATTGGCCAAGTAAGACTCCAATTACAAGCAGTTTGACACAATAAGTATCTTTCAAAATCTACGTGAAATATGCCACCTGTATTGTGAATATACACACTATACGATACATGTGTGATTATAACATGATAGGTGAGAGGCTGAATAGAATTCCATTGGTTAAATCGGCAATAAAACATTTAGGTTGTTAGCAAGCTGTTTTATAGCCTCAGCCTCCAACAGACCATTCATCAATTATTTTATGCATACTGCACACCAGATTCCAATTTGCAGTTGCAATTTGTTTTAATTTGCTGGTGTTTATTTAATTTGTGGGAGAGAACAGTCATTATTGCACACATTATACCAGTTCCAATTTTTTTGAAGGGCACTTAAAATGAATTGTTTTCTCTTTGTCTGCTTGTCATCTTTGACATTACAGCTCAGGATAGCTTGTGAAAGTCTTGGTTAGCTAGCTGAGAATGCCCAGTTATTTTTCACATTAATATTGTTGTAGTCCAGAGATGTCATGTGATACAGACATGGATACACGGAGTCCAGCAGTATTTACTTTTCTCTATTGTTGTACAAGTGGAACGTTGTGGTTGGTGATATGTGTCCCGCCCCTCCTCCACTGTGATTGGACGACATTGATGAGTTCTGTGTTTTACCCAAAGTTGAGCATTTTTCAAATCTTGGCAACCAGAAAAAATGCCAAGCACACAGTGTGAAATAGATGCTCACCGCTTTGTCATGCTGCTGCCGTTTTTTGCATTAGAAACACTACTGTGGCTAAAGAGCTTACTCATACTGGTGGATTAACCATTACAGAAACTAATTATTTTGGTAATCACCAAGTTAGGTGTTTTTAGAATCGACAGAATAAGCCACTGTGGATGAGATGTTAGAGAGCTTGAAACATATGACCCAAGAACAGTGAAAAGATTTCCCCAGTTATCGCAATCATTTATAAATCTTGTCTGGATGTTTAAAGATACTGCAGGAGGGCCTCATGTTTCATGGCCTCCCCAGGCCTGCCTCTCTGACGCCACTGTGTGTCTGCTGATACTCACGGGTAGCCCAGCTCCATGAAGTTATTCCAGATCTGTTTCAACACCATAATCACTCCCATCTGTAGGCACAAGTCGATCAGACAACCACTGGGATGACACTAAGAGAGAGAGAGAGAAAAAGCATAAATATTTTGGTTGCCCTTGTGAAATAGAAGTGCACTTTAGCACACTTTAAAAAGAGTACTTATTATTAAAAAAAAATGTAAAAGAATGAACTTAAGTGCAAACTGAATGTAATGTTTTCTGACACTTAACTGCATGTTAATTGCAATTAAATGAAAATGTATTATGCAGTTTTGTATAGTCAAAATTGATATCAAATGCATTTAATATAATTTTAGTGTTTTATTTTTTATTTATTTATTTTTTGACACTAAAATAGGACTTAAATTCACCTCTGTATTATGGTGATGGTAATGGTGAAGTTGCAATTTAGTTCATTTAAAATATAGGGCACTATCATATAGTGCCCTATCAAATATAGGGCACTATCTCTTTCGAAGCTATCTCTTTATTTATTCCTTCTCTTTCTAGCTTGTACTTATTTGAACAATGTCTAAAAACTTGGTATTACAAGCACTTCCTGTATCTGTTTGCCTCTTTAAGAAGAATCGCTTTATGGATCCCCCAATTGTAAGTCGCTTTGGATAAAAGCGTCTGCTAAATGACTAAATGTAAATGTAAATCATACACTCGGCGCAATGCGGCACCAGGCACGACGCAAGTGTTTTTTGCTATTGAATAAATGAATAAAATATCAAAACAAATGTACTTTTATAAGCACAAAAAATGATTAAAGTTATTTAAAATGTACTTTAAATTAAAACTTTTCATTTGGCAAGTGGACTTTTTAAAACTGTGTTAAAGTCATGAAAGTGTACTCTCGCTTTAATTACACTTAAGTGGCATTAAAATTATACTGTCTGCAAGTACAGTTCTTAAGTTAAGATTTCTAAGTTTTAAAATTCAATACAATTAACCACACTTCTTTTTTCACAAGGGTGGTTTTCATCATATTACATGATCTAAAACAGTACACTAATGTTATGAGCAGCCACGGTTGCAATGATGAGGCAATTATGAGAGCGTCTGCACAGAATAATGACAATTTTTATTGAAATTTCATGGCAGTTGCGTAACTGAGGCAGATATTTGATCGTGCCGGAGGGCAATAATAAAAGTGTGAGAGGACACATTACGGCCTCATCTCACCCACCTCCTCCATCCTCCACCGGTTAAACAGCTTATTATAGTCACCCGGCCTGCCAGCAAACCTGCGGAATACACACACATCACAACAACACACGTGAAATTAGCTTTGAAATTCAATTAGCCAGGCTATTGTGGGGGAGGCGTTTGCGTTAGCGCCATAGAGTTCCTGTATGAGTTGATGGCAAACAGATCTCAAGTGGTATAATCTGGGCAAATGAAAGCAGCAACAGCAAGTAAACCAAGCACTGAATAATTCATCAACTAGGTCAAGAGTTGCTTACCTTCCTAAAAAGAAAGCTATGTAGAAGGTCGAGCTGTTGAGATTGACGAACTGGAAGAGGAACATCTTGAGGGCAAAGCTGTTTTCCCATTCTGACTCTGTCCGTGGGTGTTCTAGGTCACAAGTCAACATGTTAAAATCATTAGGGAGCAAAGCACTGCATGGTACAGGCGTGAGGAAAGTTTCTCACAGCATGAAGACTGCCAGAATTTCACCCTCAATCAATAGTGATCTTGACTGAATCAATACTTACCCAGGTTTGTAAGTAGGTAGGCCACTTTCTCATAGACCTGGTGGGTTAAAGGAATTTGACTCAGTACCATTATAGACTAGGCTGAAAATATGAAATGAAAAACCTTTTGCAAGCGATTTACAGACTATGCCATTAATGATGAATTTAATACATGGTTTATACTAATCAAAAGGATGTTAGTATAACATACACTACCACCCAAATTTTTTTTTAAAGAAATTAATAATTTTATTCAATAATTATGCATGCATAATGTAAATGTATAGTGTATGATTTATAATGTGTAGTGTAATGTAAATAAATGTACAATGTTACAAATTATTTCTATTTTAAAACAAGCTGCCCTTTTGAACTTTGTTTATCAAAGCATCCTAAAAAATGTATCACAGGTTCCATAAAAATATGAAGCATCACAATTGTTTTCAGCATTGATAATAATCAGAAATGTTTCTTGAGCAGCAAATCAGCATATTAGAGTGATTTCTGAAGGGTCATGTGACACTGAAGACTGGAGTAATGATGCTGAAAATGCAGCACTGCAACACAGGAATAACAATATATTACAATAGAAAACTGTTAAATTGTAATATTTTTGAGCAGACTTAGTGAGCATCTTCTTTCAAAAAAAAAAAAAAAAAAGACCAACCCCAAACTTTTGAAAGTTAATTTAAGTCGCTATATTTACATATATTAAGTTGCAATGTTATTAGAGAAAGTAGCATTTCCATCCCTGTCTTCAGGAAAATAAAATCGTCACACTGGTGCCACATAGAAATGGAAATTAAGTTGTAACTGCTCGGGAAGTCACTCTTTTATTGAATTGAATTAATGACTTGCTGTTTTAAGGATGCAGACAAAACACTGTAATAACATTTATGTTTGCTAGCAACCGTCTTACATTTTATGTCTGGGCGCGTCAGTATGTAATAGTAGTCAATCATTTCGATGATTTCATTTTGAAGCTCTGGCATTTCAGAATAATATCTGAGATGCTATGAAATGAGAAATGTAAAAAAAAAATAAAAAAATAAATGCAAATGTCAAATGACTTTTTTTGCATAGCCATGGAACCACTTGGATTATATAACAATGCTGAAAAAATGGGAATGTATTTTATTTAAAATCTGTATTATTATTACTGACAGTATCATCAAATATTCCTAATTGTACCATTCCAGGAGAGAGAGAAAATATCAGTTTACATTTTCACAAGGAGTTTTATTTTGCATTAAAGTATTTATTTTACTTTGTACTAATGTTTTTATTGCTTCAAAGTGTATTTTGCTTTCATTTAAGTTCTTGTGGCAAAGCCTTCCAAAAATGTGTTTCTCTTTTTGTTGAGAAATGTAAAAAAAAAAAAATAAATAAATGCAAATGTCAAATGACTTTTTTTGCATAGCCATGGAACCACTTGGATTATATAACTATGCTGAAAAAATGGGAATGTATTTTATTTAAAATCTGTATTATTATTACTGACAGTATCATCAAATATTCCTAATTGTACCATTCCAGGAGAGAGAGAAAATATCAGTTTACATTTTCACAAGGAGTTTTATTTTGCATTAAAGTATTTATTTTACTTTGTACTAATGTTTTTATTGCTTCAAAGTGTATTTTGCTTTCATTTAAGTTCTTGTGGCAAAGCCTTCCAAAAATGTGTTTCTCTTTTTGTGTGAAACGTCAGTGTAAAAAGTTTTGTGTAAAAGTTTTCCTTATTGTGCCTCTCTCTGGTGTGAAGAGGCCTTCGGGACTAGAGAAAAGACACTAACCACATTCAGAGACATGATGATCATGAAGTTGATGCAGACTCCAGTGCCTGAGGTGGCGAACTGCCAGTTCTTCTTCACAAACTCCCACTGAAAGGAAGCAAACTTCTCCATGGCAATGAGCCGGAACACCACCACGGCAAACACGGCTGTCAGGACCAGAGAGATCTGGAAGAAAGATGACGAGAGGTGAACAGGGTGGAATGCTTGAAATGGATGGATATATATTGGAATCTTGCAGAAGTTTCCCTTTACAAAGTTAGATATAGTTTTGATATGCATTGCCTTTTAATTCAGGGCCACCGGAGGGAGACAGTTATTTATGGTAGTGCAGCTGTGTGAGCTAACTTTAATCAACTAAAAATCAAATAATAATAAAAAAAAAGTTCATTTTAATTTAAAATGTTCTTTGGAGCTACAAACAGGGTTCAGAACTGAAAATAATGGAATGCTGGAACTGATGGATGATTTTCATGACGCTTGCATTCTTTTGCCTGTGTGGATGAAACACTGGCATAAAATATGAATCATACCATGTACAAATGCATCTTATAAGGTGTCAGCTGTGCACAAAAATCTACAATCCTACACTCTAAAAAATGCTGGGTTGTTTCAACCCAGCTTTGGGTCAAATATGGACTAACCCAACTTTTGGGTTAAAAATTTAATGTAAAAATTTTACCCACCAGTTGGTTTAGCCCATATTTGACCCAAAGTTGGGTTGAAACAACCCAGCATTTTTTAGAGTGTACCTTTTCATGGTATGCACACAGATGTGGTGTACATGATTTGGCTTTTGTGTAATTACAGTGTAATTACACAAATGAATATCGAGTAATATTAGTTATTTCATAACGGGCTACTGAGAGCATTACATTCAATAAGTACTGTTTTCTAAATATTTTCCATTCCTTCATCCGCAAAATCACTAAAATAATTGGGTAATGCTTAGTTTTACAGTACCCTTGTTACACGTTACATGTACTGTATTTACTATAGTAATAACACTAAATTATGAACAATAACAAGCAACTAAACAAAAACTAAGCTTTACCCTAAGACTAATGTTAATTAGTTATTTCTACAAGGACTTCTTAAAATAAACCAGTGTTTGTGAAATTGTCAAGGAACAAAAATAAATCGAATTGGAAATGAAACCAGAATTGTTGAATTCCATACAATTCTTGTCCCAATTTGCATGACGGGTAGTGATAATTCTGATCTGCTTGTTCTATCTTTGGGGATATTTTGAACACAGAATCCTACCATGAAAAAGATTCCCGAAACAGACACCATGAGTCGGCTGAGTTTGTCTGTGAAGGGCTGGAAGGGGTCTGGTTTCCCTGAGATGGCGTTTACTCTCTCCTTCCGGGAGTATTTGGCTTCAAACTGGGGCCGTAGCTCCTCCTTTTTTAAAAAACAAAACAAAACAACAACAACAACATCATATTACTCATGAAACAATTGGTTGAAGATATTTTTACAGATCTCATGAATGATTCTCATCACATCATCATCTGTTTTGGTTGGACATGATGTCAATTCAGAGGCTGTTTACATATTCCACAATATGACAGTTAAATATAGAAGAGACTGTATACAGCAGCAGTTCTCAAACTTTTTTAGGCCAATTATCACGTCTGATCAAGTCACACCATCCAAGTATCACCTAATCAGCACCACACTGTGAATGTAAGAACATAGGCTACATATTAGAAACACAAAAATATAATAGGACTGGCTCACTTAAAAATTAAAATTCTGTCATTATTTACTCTGCCTATTGTCTTTCCAAACCCAAATATCATCCTTTCTTTCATAGAGCACAAAAGAAGATATTTTCAAGACCGTTCATGCTCCGCTTTTCCATAGCATATAGCAGAGAGCATATAGTGATCTGGCACTGCTAAGCTCTAAAATAGAAAAAAAGCACTATAAATGTAACATAAATATACAGGTGCATCTCAATAAATTAGAATGTCGTGGAAAAGTTCATTTATTTCAGTAATTCAACTCAAATTGTGAAACTCGTGTATTAAATAAATTCAATGCACACAGACTGAAATAGTTTAAGTCTTTGGTTCTTTTAATTGTGATGATTTTGGCTCACATTTAACAAAAACCCACCAACTCACTATCTCAACAAATTAGAATACTCCATAAGACCAATAAAAAAAAACATTTTTAATGAATTGTTGGCCTTCTGGAAAGTATGTTAATTTACTGTACATGTACTCAATACTTGGTAGGAGCTCCTTT